ACTATCTAATATTACTTCTAAAAGAATGATATTTATATCACTCACCTTTTGTGTTTAATTTTACTATTTTTTTCAACTAATACAGATCATGGATAACTGGAAGTACCATAAAACAAAAGTGGCATCTTATTGGTTGGTAAAACTGGACGCAGTAAAGCGGCGAAAGGTGAGTGATATAAATATCATTCTTTTAGAAGTAATATTAGATAGTGAACATGCAAGAGTCATAGCATCGCACTTAGTAAATAGAGTGGGTTCTTCTAAGATGTCAATATATGGGCAAGTCCATATTCTAATGTTGGTGCCACCATTGTACAAGTAGACTAATTTCACTGCAGTCAGTGAGTTCCATATTTATGCTAGTGTACCTGTTTGACCTATGAATATGATTCCCCAAAATAGATGCTTAAAATTAACGCATCAACTAAATGGTGTTGGTAATAGCTCAGCATTTCTGAATACAGGTCACTCATTTCTAAGGCTGCATACGCATGTATAGAAGTCTAATATGGGGCATCTGTTTTTAGTATCTTAGCCTAGAATTGTTATACATGTTGCTAAATATTATTTGTGAAAGCATACATCACACACATATGCGTTATGCAAATCAACATGTGGGAGAAATAGGGTATTTTAATGTGACCTGCTAGAAAAGTGATCTTTAGAAAAATAAGTACAGAAGAAATGATACTTCTAATATAAGGTAGCATCTGAAACATTTTTTTTCTTGCTCATTAGAGGACATCAGGCAACTAAGTCCATATACATAAAGTGTTTATATTTTTAGAAAATACTATAAGTATTTCTTCAACAGATTTTTGGTTTGGTACACGCTGTGACTTAGCATAGGGAGTTGTATGGCAACTTATAGGCTAGGGATAGAAGTTCCACGTAAACCAGTTTAAGTGATCAGAAACTAGTTTAAACCCATAACAGAACACAAGCTCAGTGCATATAAACCACTTTCAAAATGGCTGAAACTGATTTAAGATAAATGTGGTTGAATGTAGTATCAGACTTAACTGATTTGGGTCAAACTGGTTTATGGAACTTCTGTCCCAGACCCCTTCCTGGTTTAAGTTAAACCAGAGTCCTCAAGCATCCCAGCATGCACTGCAGCCCTGTGCTGTGCTGTGCTGTGCTGTGCTGTGCTGTGCTGTGCTGTTTGCTCCAGAGACCAGGACCGGCCCTGCCCCTCTGCTCCCTAAACTGGAGCAGTGAGGGCTGACTGACAAGTAGGTGGGGAGGGGGGCAATTCCACCTGGGGATGCAGCCCAGTCTACAGGAGGGGGACTGCACCCCTCCAGGCAAATCCCAACTGGGGTCCGGGGCCAAGGAGGGGGGTTATACACCCCTTCACCTGCTCAAACTTACTGCTGGCTGTGAGTGTGGACTACAAATCCCAGAGGCACCTAGAGGCAGGAAGATGAAGTGATGAGCAACCCTGCAGAGTCCTGCTGCTGTAAGTCTGGACTGCAAATTCCAGAGACCTCTGGAGCAGCAGGAAGAGGAAGTGAACACTGTGACAGGGGGCCTGCTCAGGACCAGGTCTCAACATTGGCCCGCCCACCTGTAAGTAGGGAAATATGCCCAGTCTTGCCTGCCACAATTTGCTGTTTCTTAAATTGGTGTAAAATGCAGGAGGTTTCTCATTTTAATGCTCTGATGCCGAGGGGCAGTGTCCACGGCTCCATAACGTCCCTACACCATGGCCCATGCCTTTCATATTTGTTACAGTGCCCCACACTGTGACCCAAGCTCCAGAGTCTCATATGCGACTCTCACTCCCCACTGCAGCTTGCAGTCACAGTGCCCCCACACTGGGCAGTTCTTATCCTTATGACCCAAACTCAGCCTCACAACTTCTGAGGGCTTACCGAGGTCTCAGCCTCTGGTCCAACTGTGGCCTCAGGCATCCATAGCCTTACCTTGGCCTAACCGCCCCTTTCCTGGGGCTTCAACTTATTCCCTCTTGCTAGGGCCTTCCACCTGTGCTCTCTTGCTAGGGCCTTCCACATAATGTGCCTTCTCTGGGACAAACGCTACTGCCCCCTCTCTCACTGGGGCTACACAGGGTCTTACCCTCCTGTGGGACTGAGGCATCATGTGGACATACCTGGTCCCTTCCTGTCCCCTCATTGGGACCACTCTATCTCACTGGGCTCTCTGGGGTATTCCACTCCTTGGGGCTCAGTTGTCCAGAAATGTGCCTGGCCCCTGTGCCTGTCCCTGGGCTTGGGTATCCCACCAGGATGTTGGGGCTGGGGTTTTAAATTGCCCCTCCACACCCTTCACTGGGGAGGCAATCTGGCCTGACATTTTTGGGGAACTCCCCCATCACAGGGAGTCCCACCCACCAGGCCATCCTTCCCCAGCAGGGTGCAATTTTCTGTCATACCCAGGACCACTGCAGGCGTACCTGCTTTGGTCTTATCCCTGCTGGGCTATATGTTGTTTCTGGGCTGCTCTCTCTACTGGACCTTAGTTCCAGCCTCCTTCATTTCGGCCTACTGTCTTGCTCAGCTTTTCTTCCCCTTGACAGTGATGCCCCTCTCCCCCATCGAGGGAACCTTCAGCCTCCATAGACTTTGGCCCTGCCTCCAGGCTGGTTGGGGTGCCAGATAGCTCATCATAGCCCAGGCATGCCCTTCGCGTTGGGCTTAATTGCCCTTCAGCCTTCTGGCTCTGGCCCTCTTGCATTGACTAGTCGGAGTTTGTTGGTCTCAGTCCCGCAGTAGCTGGGCTCCTTAGACAACAGGGAGCCTTCTGGGCCCCACCATGCAACCATTGCCTCAAGCCAGGCTGACCTAATACCCTAGTAATGCTACATGAAGACCAGCCAGGGTCACCTGAGCCACTGGTTTCACCCCTGCCAGATCTGCTATGGGGTTTGCCTAGCCCCTGTGTAGGCCTACAAGCTCTCATCCCCTCTGCAAGGCTGGCCTCTTGATATTAGGCCCAAAGCATTTTCCTCAGGGCTTGGGACCCTACTGGGCCCAAGGAACCTCCTACCATCCCCACAGTTCCTCCCTTACCACCAAGGGTGTTGTGAGCAGCAGCTCAGCTGGGTGTTGTCCTTCAGCTGCTTTCAGTAGACTGCTGCTTCAGCGCTAAGAGCCTGGATCGAAAATGGCTGCCTCATCAGGGCTGGCCCACACCTGCTGGCTGCCTGCTCTCATGCTTAAGTGGCAGACACCAAAGGTGCTCTGCCACAGCCCGATGGTGCTCTGCCACAAACACATAGCCAGAGAGCTGTGCATTAGTGACCCTGGGCTTCTGGCCTGAGCCACTGCAGGCATGTGGCTGCATTTCCTGAGTCAAAGGTAAATGTCTGTTTACTTCTGTTTCAATTTAATCTGGGCAAAGACTGAATCAATTCAGCCTCAGGCTTTTTGACCGTCTGTACTTAGCAATAGAAACTATATAACAAACTCTGTACAGGCAAAAAAGTTGCACGTGCAGATACAGATCTAAATAGGGATTCTATCTTAGCAGATGACACGATAATGAGATAACACTGAATTGGAGGTAGATCTGCAAAGGCAAAAGTTGTTAATAATATTGTAATTTTCAGTTGACCTTACAAACATGCTAATAGTTTCTCTCATTTTTTTGCCTTACAGTTTATCCCCATCAAAGACTAACCAGAATTGCTTGTCTTGTTGTCTCTAATTCAGAGTAGCAAATAGGTGTTGCCGCAGTGTGCTAAAGGTCCTCAGTCTTCTTTAAAAGAAAACAAAATGACTAAAAGACCTCCTATAGTCAATATCACCTTTGTAACCCAATGTCTCACTTATATAAAGTAGCCAAGTGTTATTTGGGAGGAGGTGAGAGTATGGCTACCTTACTGGTCTTGTCTTAGAGTCAGGATATTTGGGTTCTCTTTGCTCCTGACCAGTGGCTCAGTTGACTTCATTGCTGCGTGCCTCAATTTCCCAATTAGACTGGAAAGCATTTCTGAGCTGTTCTTTGTCATCAATAAATATTATTAGGAACAGGATCAGGAGAAATATTTTGGAACCACAGCTCAGGTTACAGCATGGTCTTCAAACCTTTGAATCACTTTTATACTGAATACTATTTTAAACTACTCACTATGTTTTGGTACTGGGAAGAAATGAGGTGCTATAAAGAAAAACTGCCCAGCGTGGTGTGATAGGAATGTAATTGACCATTTAACCACAAGTTCATATATCAGATGGAGGATTTATTCACACAGTTGCATAAAACTGGCATAGCCATATTAGAGGTGAAGTACTGATGAGGAACTTGATAACGTAAGTCAGCTGTGAACTTAATTAAAGGTCTTCTGGAATGGTAGCAAGTTGCAACATAAATCTACTGTTCTACAGAGGGTTCTTTTTTTTTTTTATTTAATTTGCAGCCTTCATGAATTGGTTATGGTGGTTGAGGTAGAATCATTGTATTGTTTTAGTATTGCCCGAGTACTCTTTTGCTAACAATATTCTGTTCCATTTTTATAGTAGTATTACTATGATCTCCCCAGATCCATGTTTAGAGATCTTCTCCATCTTGTGCAGTGGGACAGCCACAGCAGTACTCCTTACTATTTTTTACCAAACCACAGAGAGGCATCTATGGGCTGGGGGATTGGGGCAAAGGTGTGGTTGAGAGAGAACGTCCAGATGTGTCTCATACTCTACTCAGCATTGTGTACAAGGAAAAGAGAGTTTAGCCCTGGACCTCAAACTATAAACCTGAAGTGGAGATCTCCCTCTGTGGGGGGAAGCAGGGGAGCAGGTGAGTCCAGGAGTAGTCCTTGTTAGCATAGACTAATTTAGTCTAGGCCATTAGAAGTGGAAAATAGACTGGAGTGATGGGGTCAGGTCAGAGCTGCAGCAGATGCACAGAACCTCTGGACAGCATCTTGGGGATTTTCTTTCATCTTTTCCACAAGGGTCTTCCCGTCCCTTTGTCCCATCCCAAAACAATGGCCAGAGGAGAAAAGTGTTTTTTCACTTGGAGAACTTAGAGGGAAAGTGGCACTTACACCTGACATGGTGTCACCAGCCCAGTGCTTATCAAGTGTCTCATGAGAGCTGGCGAAACTGTTTCATCCTTTCATTACCCCTGCTTTTTTCCTCCTGCCACACAAGATTCAGGCTTTTTGCCATCTAATATAATTTTTAGCTGTGTCATTTTATC